TACGTCTCGGAAAAAATGATACATTTTAAACTATATTAAAAGATATTTCTGAGTTTTGGCTTCCTTTGTAAATTTATATTATTTTTTTTTTTTAATTTATAATTATAATACATTTTTTAAGTTTTTTTATTGTATTATAATATATTTTATTTATGGCGGAGAGATAAATTTTATCGGTGTGCTGGCGGGGCGATAATAAACAAGTACCAAGGATACGAATAATTTTGAAAAAAATCACAAATATTTTTATACCTACACATCTGACATTCGAAATTCCCTTGCGTGACTAAAATTCTTTTGTTGACAAGCCAATTTTTCCAAGCACCTCGACAACTATTTTCCACAAATAATGAAATTCCTCTCATTCTAATGTTTTTAATTTTTCCGTTTGAAATCGTCATCTAGTTTGCTACGTGCGATTGAACACTGCAGCTTTTAAGCACTTGTTTTGGTGATGAAAACAAGTCAATATTTCAATTTTAACCTTTTGCAGTATATTCCGATGTCTAGAAAATTACTGCAATGAATCAATCAATATGTTAAATTTGAATTGAATTCAATGATATAAAATCGTTGTATACGAAAAACGATTAAAACAATTCTGAGCGGAAACTGATCTGTAAGTCCCATGGACTTATTATATGTCTATGATCAGGCCTATTACATTATGAAGTAAGTATATTTTATGATATTATTTTGATTAAAGTTATTTATTATAAGCTAAGTACATTTTTTGTCGAAAAAGTTGCATTTGAAAATGCCATTATGTATTAAGTTTAAGTACAATTATATATTTACTATGTCTCTATAAATTTCAAGTAGATACGAGATACCAATGAATAATATTTTTAAATAACAACAAAATAACTAAAATTTTTATTCTTGGTTTAAACTGAAATTTTTAACTTAAAGTAACCATAAAAAAACTGTCCTTAAATATATTTTGAAATTAATAAATATTGTTGACTTTTGAACTTCAAGAGTCTTTTGTATTCAATTTTCAAGCTTTTTGAACCAACGAACAACATTTCATTGACATTTATATAAAAAAAAAAACTAAAAAGGCGTTTTTAAATTTTGAAACCAACTAGATTTACTAGAAGTCTTGGAGCATTAGCCATTATTTCGATTTACTTATCGTGTAGTGTGAGTACACAGATATACATAAAAAAAACACACACATCATTGTGGTCTGTGGAGTCATAACATTCATCGCTCCACTCAGAATTTAAAAATGATATATTACAGTATTACACGATTACATGAAATATGAATAAAGGTACGAGAAAAATRTGATCGAAATTAGAATAGTTCCAACCTTCCAAGTCAGACTAGTATATACGATATACTGATAAACAGCTAAAATACCTAAAATATATATACGAGTATGTATATATATATTTTTTTATTTGACGAAACATTATATTTACAATCTGTATTTACAGTTATACTATAAGTAAATGTGATGGTGATTGATTGGCAGGAAGGTGAAGTCATCCAGTGACGGCACCCCGTGGAAAGTGAATTAAGGAGAGAGTAGGTCCCTACACCGGCTACACCAGTTCCTTTTCAGACGCCTGGGTGGATTATCTGGAATTTGATTAGATGAAAAGTTGGATGATTATAGGATTAGAGTGAGTACTGAATGT